AGTAGTAGTAGTAGTAGTAGTTGCGAACAGTCCTCGGTGCCTCGTACAATTCGTTGGTGTCACGTCATGATTGGTAATTTGAGCTATGAGAAGTAGCGCCGCTGGGTCGGTTCCCGAACAGCGTGCGACTACCACCTTCATCAGTGCTATCAAGCGTACCGCCAACATCGTGGCTCAAGAACGAGCTAACAAGCTCAACACTCTGCAAGTAACTATTCACTCAGATCTAGACAACACTCGAACGAAACGAGTGGCGGCAGACCGCTGAGTATCTCCAAGAGTATGCCGAGCAGGATCCAGGTGGGCATGATGGGCCATCTGGGGATGATGATGAGGCTGAACCAAGTGTCCATCCATCCGCCTCTCCGACTAATCTTGGACCTGGAGGTGGCAGAGATGGAGGCGGCGGTGACGGCCCACCTGACAGCCCTAGCAGGCGCGGAGGTGATCCTCCGAAGACGCCAAGTGACGTGATGTTGCGAGAGATTATCCTCTTGATCCTCCTCCGCCCGGTGACCCGACCCAGAAATCACGGAGGTCAAGATTTCGCGTCGAGAAGTTGACAAAGTTGTGGTTCCACCATTTCCGAGGGTGGCTCACCTGGAGAATTGGAGAACACAGTGCTACACTAAGGTGATGGGAGCTTATGCTGATCCTAATCAAGAAGACTGGATTAGATGGCTGGAACCAGCTTTTCAGGCCTTTCCCGACATTGAGGCGTTGAATGAATCAGGTCATCACCAATTCAAGAGCATTGACGTCAAGCTTGCGGCCGCAATGACATCTATGTTAAGAGCAGCAGGTGATCAAGCATCCGAGTTGCTTCTGGAAGTCAACCGCAAGGCCAATGATTATGTCAGGACATCCAGTGCAAAGATCATCAAAAGTCGACAAATCATCGCGATGATGTACGAGAGCTTCCGTACGCGTGATTGATTGGACTTGATTGTCACTTTGGAGAATTTGATCAAGCTTCAGTACCCAGGTGACCCCAAGCTCAACGTCTTCAAACAAACGTGGCTGGAAGTGATATCACGTGTGCGACCTGAGGACGTACCATCTCAAACAGCTCTTCGTGACACACTGCACAGCAAAATCAAGGATTCTCCGTCGACGAAGATGGAGCTTCTCGTCCACTATGACATGTTGCCCTGCGATCACAAAGACAGGACATATCAGAACTGGCTGAACCTGATCGATCGTTGTATTATGAGACAGCGTGAGAACAAGAATCAGGCTCAGACGCATCAAGGCAGATGATCGAAGGCAAAGACAAGTTGGCTGCTCGGGGCAAGACCGCAAACAAGGGCCACCGTCACGTGGTCGTGACGGATCGCGTTCACTTGGTTGATGAAGATCGTCAAGCCCGTCTACAAGTACGAGGCAAAGAGTGTGCTATCAGTGCAAGAACACAGGATCTTGCAACAGGGAGAATTGCCCCTTTGCGCACATCAGCGAATTTGCACCTTCCAAAACCGCAGAGGCTAAGGCGGAAGCAAAAGCTGAAGCGAAGCCCAAAGCAGAACCGAAAGCTGATACAAAAGCAAAGCCTAAGGGGAAGGCAAAAGCACAACCAACAGCTCCTGCCATTCGACTATGCCGAGCTTGGAATCCACTCGCGCCCACCATCCGAAAGAGGGCTGTCGTCTACGACAATGAACAGTCTGATTGTTCATCGTTGGATAGCGATGCGGATTCGGATTGCTCGACTGAGGACGAGGCCGAGGGTGTGACTTCGTCTACCTCGCGTCCGTCAAAAGGCAAGAGAGTGTCTTTCTCCAACTCAGTGCGATTTCAGTCTTCCAAGCCTCGGAGATCGTATAAGGAGCGAGGAGGGAAGGTAAGACCAGTCAACGTCGATGCCATCATCGACAGCGACGATCGATCGACTGAGTTGGGCTTTGCCAAACATGTTACGGGGGTCAAAGCGCAGATGTTTTTGGACATGCTACACGACGATGAACCTGGCGATCGACGTGTGCATTTCAGAATTCCGGGTACTTCCAGAGTCAAAGCCATCATTTACTGAGATGGGGATGATGAGACCATGGAGTGGGACTTGAATGCAGCAGACAGCCGCAAAGCCCTGAAGAATGACGCAGAGATGTGCACGGTTCAACCCACGTGGATAAGAGCGAAGATCAAATTTGTCATGGACACAGGATGAAACAGCGAATGGGGTGACCGACTCTGATATGATCTCCAACTTCCAAACGGAATCATTCAAGGAGCCGATCAACGCCCTCGTTCTTGCGGATACGCCTTCAGTCCTATCTGTTGGCAAAGGATGCATCAACCAAGGATATGGATTCGTGTGGCCACCTGGTCGTGCTCCGTTCATGATCAACCCCGAAGGAGAGCGCATCTCTCTCTTTTCGTACACGGCGACATTCCGTATGTTCGAGCAGGAAGTCAAAAGTCTGTCGCCCACGAGGACAAAGAGGCAAGCGCAATCAAGATGGTGTTTGACCAGACTGACGAATCAACCTCTACATCATCAAGTCGTCAGACAGCGGCCATGGCTAAAGCAATGCCTGGTGAAGAGGAACGAGAGGAGGAGGATGGCTATATCGAAGGGGGAAGAAGCCATTGTACGAAAAGCAAAGATCGGAACCCTCAAGGCCGAAGCCAAAACGTCGGCTCATCTGTGCACGCACAGATACAGGAACCCGTGCTGCGAGGCGTGTGTTCGCGCGAAGATGAAGCACAGTCGCGCAGTACGTGGAGCCTTCCAAAGAGAGTTGAAAGCCTGCGGAGATCTCATCACATTCGATTTCCTTGACGTGCGCAAAGCAGCTGACGCGGGAGTGGGAATAGATGACGAAGATCGCGAGACCCTTGTAGTGCGTGATGTTGCGACACAAGCTATACCGGCAATACCTACGGAATCAAGGCTCACGGATCAAGTCGTGGACGCTCTTCGGAGAGTCATAGGCCGACGCAAAGTGCATCTCGCCTACAGCGACGCTGCTCCTGGGCTTGGTGCAGCTATGGCGCAACTTCGGATACCGATCGACCACTCTCTCCCAGGATTGCCGAAGAGCAATTCCCTTGCAGAGAACGAGTCAGATCGTGATCAATACGGTCGCGACTTCGTTACTACACGCCGGACTACCAGCGCAATATTGGCCCTTTGCATCGAATTGTGTGGTGCGCAACCTCAACATCGAAGATGTGGAGGGAGACGGTCAGAGACGGTGATTCTGCATGGAAGCGCGTGACTGGGGAGGACTTCAAAGGCAATGCCATCCCTTTCGGTGCGAAGGTTTTCTTCAAGCCAACAGACGCACGAGAAAAGACTTATGCTGGAAAGTTCGACCCCAAAGGGATTCCTGGTATCTTTGCCGGATACATACTCACAACGGGGCAAATATGATCAACCGTCCCATGATGGAGGGGATCAAGATGACGACGATGGTCCACCAACAGGAAAGCCACCAGAACAC